TATCACACGACCCCTCAGTTTTAGGTTTTTGAGATACATGAGGCAGCTTTAAGATATTTCAAGATTCTTGAACTAGGACAAAGTTTCATGTTACAAGAAGCGTCCATCTGCCTTTTCTGTTCGTCTGTCCAGCTGAGCCCAGATGTCAGCTGGTATGAAGACATCTGTCCTGCCAGAGGTCTAAAAGCCTTGGAAGCTGTTTATCCCAGAGGATACCACTTGTCTGCTGATGACAGCCTGGATACCAAGCACATGAGGCACCAAGTACCTAAATCCCACTGGATACAGATAAGACCGAACGTTTTCAAAAGAATTCAGAGCAAAAAGAGACAAATCATCACAGTCATCATCACAGGTACCTACAGTTTCAGAGAAAGGTTGCCAGTTCTGTACAGTAATAAGTTTAATATATAATTAGTAAATAAATGGAAGTTTTGAATGTAAAGCTAAAAAGTTTTATTTTTTCCTTCCTCACCAAGAAACACAACATTCAACCCGGAAAACCTCAAATTTTAAATATTTACCAATGTTAAATATTTATGACTAAACAAGCAACAACCAAAGATGACATTTAATACTCAAAAAAACATCTCAACTAACCTGCGTTATCAGGGCTGCATAGCAGCTGTTTGACAGGGACCAAGACAAATACATCATGTGTTGATGCTGATGTCACCTTTCCTCAGCTGAGCCCCGCTTTAGACAAAGCATAGAAATGTATAACCAAAACTGTTGCAGCAGAAAATGGAATAAGGTGACTGAGAAAATTGTTCTTTGGGGCTTTAAGCCACAACAGTAATCTACACAACTACAATGACTTGTGTTTTCAGAAGTCTCTATCATTCATGTCAAATTACGCAACTGTTATGTGAGTTATTCTAGCTATTGTGAGATAGCACTATGGCTTGGGAAGTCTAAAAAATAAAATTTGTCTTTCCAGAGGACTTGTTGACCCTCTAGGCACCAGAGTTAAGGTCACAAAAGAAAAATGGTCATTTTCTTATACACCGCTGCTAAAATTCAAAACAGACGACGGCTTCAGACAACTACTGAGAGCAAAGCACTAATTGGCCCCCTTGAACAACATACACACCAGTTACTATACACAAACACAGACGAACCACATCAAAAATGCTCCAAGAAACAATATCACCTCATGCAACTACAGAGAAATGCTGCTGAGAACCGTCTGAAACCCCAATTTCATCCACAGAGTATAGAAAATTAAAACCCAATCAGCCGGTCCCTGGGTGTTTATGCTGCAACTACTATATGCTTCATTTTAGGTAAACTTATACTGTCAATTTCTGCAACAGTTATCAGGAAACCAGGTTCAACAGACAGTTTCAATCTTCTCTAAGACCCCCATTAGGCCCATCAGGTCCTGTTTGTGTACAGGCACCCAGGGGCCTCAAGCTGAGCTCAGCAGTGACTCATATGGCATGTGTGTTCATGGATCCTCTGTCCTTATAATTAAGTCTCTCATTCAAGCATGCAGTAATCATAGCCAGGACAGCTTAGTTCAAACAGAGAGCACATATGAAAAGGCTGTCAGTGCTGGATTTCTCAAGACTTGATCATGAGTCTTATAATAATAACTAGGAAGTGAATGCACTGTATGCTAAGAGGTGTCGTGAAGCTACTGTACATCTGCTGTGCCAGACAACTCCTGGGAAAACTTTGTTGATGGAGAAGCTGTTAAGTTAGAGACATGCTGGGAGATGCTGGATGCAAGACAAAAGCGCACAAAGTCAGGTCCGATCATTGTAACAAAATGCAACCATGATTCTCAGCTGTGCCCACAGCTTCAACCTGACTTGTGTGACAAGGTCTGCAGCATAGTTTGAGGGGGGGGTTGATGATTCTGGTAAAAAGCTGACACTAAGAGGAATTTCCCGTCGTATGGTGTTATCAGAAAAACAACAGAATCCACCGCTGTTTTACTTCAACAGCTCAAATTCAACAATGGAGCTGATGATGTTCTGTTTGTTATTGTATTGTACCATTGCCCCTCTGAAAAAGAAGGTAGTGAAACAGAGGAGGCTAGCCCCATGGTACAGCTCGCAGCTCAGCTCCCTAAAGCAGGCATCACGAAAAATGGAAAGGAGGTGGCGCTCAACTAAGTCAGAAGAGTTTTTCATAGCCTGGAA